TCCTTCGCCTTGCAATTGTCGCCGCCCTCGTGGCAATGCACCTGATTGTTCTTCTCCGCAGCCGTGAAGGCAGCAGGCACCGCCCAAGAGCACTGGTCCTCCAAGAGCAGCGCACCCTTCGCCACCCGGAAGTACCCCATTTCCCCCCAGTACTCTCCCCATGAGTTCCTTAGTTGCTGAGTTCATAAGCCCCAAAAAGTGTACACTTTCAGTTCTATAAGGGATCATATAATCCCAAAAAGTGTAAAGTGTACTCACTCAGCTACTAAGGTTCCTTACGATCCAAAAGAAGCCGTCCTTCGGATCAGTTCCCCAGCCAACCACTGACACGACATGATCGACGCCCTCGCCCTGCGTCTTAATGATGCCGGACTCGTAGTTGAGCAGGGGGTTGGCGTCCACCCCGCATGAGATCGGACCACGATGGAAGATCTCCTTCATCATGGCGTCAGCGCCAGAGATGGAGCCGTAGTCCGAGATTGTCGCATTGGGGAACTCACCAAGGCCGGTGCAAGGTCCACCCTCCTGAGAGAAGCTTCCACAGGTCCTGGCCACGTTCGCTGCCTTGCAGGACGTGTCGACGTACTTGCAGAAGCCCTCATCGGAGTCCGAGGTGCAGGCAACGTAAGGATTGGCGGTCTCGTAGCTGATCCCGGTACCCTTCTTGGAAATCTCCATGAGCCACTGGTACGGACCGTCGACACTGCCGCCCTTGCATGTGCCCACACCTCCGCAGTTCAGCAGGTGCTGAACTGCAAGGTTGATGTCGATTCCTTGCGCTTGGCGTGCGATCTTGATGCGGTCACCGAGGGCGGAGATAGCACCGTGGGCCCAGCATGATCCACAGTACTGAGGGATATGCTGATTCCGCGACATGGTGCAGTAGCTTTTGCCATCCTTGTTGCACCAGCTGAAATCCGAGGGGAACTCCGTTGCCTCAAGCAGGTCGTGAGAGCTTTGATGGGTCGTGGCATTGCCACGCCATACTATCCCAAGCTTCTCGACCTCGGCACGCGGAAGCAACTCAGAGCGATGGCGACGATCAGTCTGAGCTGCGGCAACGCCGAAGCCCAGAATTGCGATGGCGCTCGAGAACTTCATGATGCTTCCCTCGAGGCTACGTCGTCGAAAGCAGGAGCTGCAAGCTCGAGCCGTAAAGCCATGTAGTTTACGGAGTTTACGGTTCAGGGTCGCCCTTCAGGGGGCTGTCGGAGGTGTGGGCTGTGCCACAGCACGACCGGGGAGTCTCCACATATCTTCTGGAGATGCAATGTTGATGCGACCGTTCTCCGCTTTCAAGAGCAGTTTCAGCTTTCGGAATGGGTCTAGCTTTCCAAAGCAGAACGCAGCCACAGGCTCGGCACCCCCCGAAACCCGAAGGGAGGAACCTGGCTGAGGAAGAACAAGAACAGGCGTTCAATAACGTCATTCAGAACCAAGATTTCTTCATTTTCCTATATAAGAGACCCGAACATTGACCTCCGACCTTTAATAAGAGCACCCTGCTCTCGAGGAGGTATCTGAACTCTGCCTGACGCCTACGTCTGGAAGAAGAATACCCTGCATCCTGAACCGCCTGCTTCGGCAAGGCTCCTGATGCTGACCGAGCTGCACTGCTCACACTGTGTCATGCTCATATTGGGGGCGTAAAATCCTAGGGAAGGCGGAGAGTTCGGACAGAGGATCGGGCCTGAGGTTGCGGTTGGCGGTTGGGTTCTGAGGACATGGACCCTTCGACAATGCCCGGCAACGAGTTTTGGGCTTTGGGGTTCGGGCTCGGGAGATTGGAGTCGTCAGTGGCCAGCGGTTCGAAGGAGTTGACCTTGGACCCTCCAGTGAAGAATAGCAGGGGCTTGGCAACAGCAGCAAGCACATGGGATCAGCGCAAGGGTCTGAAAGCGCGAACAGCCTGTGCGAGGCATGCATGCTGTATGCTGGAACCACTGGAACCCGGTAAATGCTCGCATGCTTCTTGGATACGTCCGAAGCATGACAACAGCCGTCGTAGAAGCATTGTAGTGACTCAAGCAGCAAAGCCCAATAACACTTCGGGAGCGTTGGTGCGTCAGAGCCCTACGTCTTTGCACCTACTTGGAGGTTCATGGGTAGTTATAAGTGGGCTTATAAGTAGGGTAACTGTAATTATAACCCATATTGGGGGACTTATAACTCCACGTATAACTACCCATGAACCTCCAAGTACCACAACTTCCTGCAGCCGAATTGAAAACCGAAGCAAGAACACGAAAACGAAAGCCTATCACCCCTCCCAAGTCCTAACTACCCTATGCCTGCATATGCCCTACCACCCCAAACACTAAACCCTGTAAATCCCGGCACCCTGCAGACCCAAAACCCGGTTTCTTCCAATCGCTCCAGGTCTCCAGTTTCACAAAAAGTGCATTCCACCGATGCAAATCCCGAGCCTTAGCTGCTGCAAGTGCTCCGGGCACATATATATATATATATGTATATCTATATATGTACATCTATATATATATATGTGCATATATATATATATATACATATGTATACATATATATATATGTATACATATGTATATATATATATATGGATAATTAAGGGTTCAGGGTGTGCGGTTCAGGGTATACAGTCACCGAATATAGGGGAAGGGGATCTTACGGGCTCAGAATTTCATGAGAGTTTTCGGTGCTTGCGTAGAGTTGAATAGCAGTGCCTGACGAAGCAACTCGATGACTCAACATTCAACCTGACATCTTAGCAGCGTAAGGGCTGCTGCCTGCGCCTCGTTTTGCCGCACGTCGATCGAAATGGACGGCACAGTTGAAGCTTGAGCAGCTTCGACTTAAAAGCCCTTCTGGCGATGTCTCTCCACCAAGCAGATCCGTTTTGGACGAGCACGGCGGCGGTCGGCTTGTGGCCATGCCAGGCTTTAGCACAAGCTCGAGCTTTCTGTTGCTAAAAACAGATCTATCTAGAAATATATACATGTATGTCTATATACATATGCGTATAAATATAAAAATAAATGTATGTATATATATATATATTATATGTAGAGAGAGAGAGAGAGAAAATAAGTTCAGCCTGGGTCTTGCGTCCATCATCTCTTGCGAAGCCCCCATGCCCCCGATCATCATCTCAGAGACCTCGCAGCCCCAGAGTGCCTGGCATAGTACCTAATGTAGGGGCCTTAATAATTAGAATAGGGTCTTGGGGTTCCTTATTATAACTACAGTATAATATCCCCAAAACCCTATTCCAATTATTTAAGGCCCCTATATTACAGTCTCCATTGCAGTTCCTGTTTCTGGTCTAGCCTGCTTTATGGTTAGGATCCTCTGAGGTAACTCCAACAAGGAACTACCATGGAGACTATAGGTACCACTGGCCAAAGAACGAAAGGATCACAAAACCTGTTAGCCTGCACGGCTGCCGGAAACTTTGTCCAGTTATGTGTCGCCGCTCCAGCTTTGGGATCGGCTGCATGTAGTTGTAAAGCACCGTTGTTTCAACATAGTGACTACATCATATTCACAATATGGTCGTATTTCTGAGCAACCTAGACATCAGCAGGCACAGCACACTGGCCGTCGCTGTTGCTGCCGCAGGCGAGCACTCGACCATCGCCTCAAAACGGTATCAAATGCGGCATGCTATGATGCAGGAGTTAAGGCAGCTCACAGTTTAGAAGTGTGAGCTACAAGGGACGTCTGCTCTTGGAGCAAGGCAGAGCAGAACAACCCCGACTTCCCTTTTGCCACAAGGCAGCTCAACTCACTGACCCCATAGACCTTGACGTAGCACTAAGTATAGTATGCTTAAGCATATTTGTTGGCTCCCACGTTGCTTAAGCATATATAGTGGTGTATAAACAGTATAATATAGTATGTCTTCTCGGATCCTCCTAGTACTGTTCAGCTGTGCTTCTACTGCTGTGATGACTCGCGCTGATGCTACACTCCCACCATTGCCACCACAACGACTTTGACGACGACGACCAGTACGAACCAGGACCACCCCGACGAAGGCTTCTGCTTACAAACAACGTAACAACTACCACACGGAACGAACAGCCACACCACAGAAATCATTTTCCAACGTGGTAGTGCTCAGCGCCACAGTCACTATCATGTTTGTCGTCGGGGTGCCGTCAGCTGCATCCTGTTAGCTGTGATGATTTCTTTGATGCCGGAACTCAGATGCTGTTGGGTTTGTTATCATGCTTTGACCCCTGTGCTATGGTGATGAGGATGATGATGATGATCGTTTGCTCAATGACGAGTGCTTTCATTCTGACCATCAGCACCAGCACAGTTACTACCACCTTGCTCATCATCACTACCGGAAGCCGCATTGAAGCATGTATCGTAGTCGCCATCATCAACAAGACGAGCAACAAGCCTATATTGTCGTATTCATCATCTATCGTGATCACCATCGTGATTCGCCAGCATTATCATCGTGAGCGCGTGTCAACGACATCGTTGTTGCACTCCCTTCGGCCGGGCCACTTCGCAAAAGCCTTAGCTCAATCTCGGACATAAACAGCCTGTATCCTACTGCAAATTGTCTCACTACGTCAGGGTCAGGTGCATCTCAATACAAACGGCTAGAAGAGGTCATTCGAAGTATAATGCTCTGGTAGAAAGGCGACCGGAAATGAACAGCCCAAGCGAATGCACGACCAGCCAAAAGGCAGCGTGTGAGTGCTGCCAGCAGCTGCCGCCATGTAGCCTAGGTTGCTTGCAATCAACCGAAGCAGTCCCTGTCCCTTCGTTGAGCAACATGACCGGCACGGCTCAGAGAACAACCTGCTGGACACCAGGCGGCGCATACCCAGTGGAAGTGGAGGTATCTGACACTGGCCACCTCTGCAAGGCTTTGGGATGCTGGACTTACGAGGTGCACGTCCGTGTAGCGGGGGCTCTACAGTTGACGACTCCGCAGCGAACCTTACTTTATGAGACTCATGAGTTTAGACGGTGCATCTTGTTGGAGAATTTAAGAAGGCACAACAGCGACGAGCCAGAAGAGCCAGGAGCCCTCTCCACCGGCCTAGGACCTCGTCAAAGAAGCTGCAGATCAAATCCGACGGAGCTAAGTGGCTGCTGTTGTCTCCAGCGGCCACCGCCTCCCCGTCGTTGCGGATAAGCACCTCGATTGTTAAAACCCCGAGCCTCAGAGAAAGCTGCAAACGGCCTGAATGAACCCTAACGTTTCTAGAGTAGGATTCCGACAATCCAGAGCCCGATGCTGCAAGAAGCGCGTAATTGCAGTGGATAAAGACAGAAGCACATCACTTCCTTTCCGCCTGCTGCTATGTCCCCGACTTCCGCATGTATACTATACTAGTAAAATGAACGGAGAGGGCGACATTTTTTCTTTCTGTCTTATGAAGCATGTCCAAGCTTCGCTGACTATGTGCCGCACGAATGGTGCACAAAGCAGCTTCAATACTCAGCAAGAAAGAGCAGCCTTTCAAGATGTTCATGAAAGGGTTACTGTACAGCAAGCCTATCGCAGTTGAAGCGGTGGCTGTTTCAACTCAAAGTCTAACTTACGCAAAGCTTTGCCGGGCGCTATGAGCTTGGCCCGCAGCCACTGCAAAACCACAACCATGCCTGGCATGGAAGGCCTCGGAGTGATGCCTGCTACGTTAGGTGAGTACCCAACTACAGCCAACGAGCGTACCGAGCAGCGAAACTGTACATCCCAAGCAATGGCCCCTTGCGCAAGTAAATGTTTCAAGAGGCACGTCCATGCACGTACGTCTTTGCGGAAGCAAGCAATGCTTTCAGTCTCACAAGCATCCTTGGCAACCCATGTTGCTTTCTTCCAGCTTTGTGCTGCCTCCATCTTGTGAGGCATGACATGGCCAGAAGAGCATGACCAATGAAGATACAACTCGACAAAAC